TATATATATATACACACACACGAACATAGGTGCTGGTCATAAAATTAAAATATGAAAAAGTTTATTTATTTCAGTAATTCCATTCAAAATGTGAAACTTGCAAATTATATTAATTTCACACAAACTGATATATTTCAAATGTTTATTTCTTTTAATGTTGATGATCATAACTGACAACTAATGAAAACCCCAAATTCAGTATCTCAGAAAATTAGAATATTGTGAAAAGGTTCAGGGCAGCACGGTGGCACAACTGGTAGAGCTGTTGCCTCTCAGTGAGCAGGTCCCCGGCTCAAATCCCGTTCTGGAGGCCTTTTTGGGTGGAGTTTGCATGTTTTCTCCGTGCATGTGTGGGTTTTCTCCGGATTCTCCGGTTTCCTCCCACAGACCAAAAACATGCATGTTAGGCTGATTGGTAACTCTAAATTGTCCCTAGGTGTGAGTGAGAGAGTGAATGGTTGTTTGTCTCGTTTGTCTCTGTGTGGCCTGTGATGGACTTACGACCTATCAAGGGTGTACCCCGCCCCTCACACAGTGATTGCTGGACATGGGCACCGGCGACCCCCGTGACCCAAAATGGATGAAACGGGTAAATATAATGGATGGATGGATGGATGGATGGATGGATGAAAAGGTTCAGTATTGAAGATACCTGGTGCCACACTCTAATCAGCTAATTAACTCAAAACACTTGCAAAGGCCTTTAAAAGGTCTCTCAGTCTAGTTCTGTATGCTGCACAATCATGGGGAAGACCGTTGACTTGACAGTTCTCCAAAAGACGACCATTGACACCTTGCACAAGGAGAGCAAGACACAAAAGATCATTGCTAAAGAGGCTGGCTGTTCACAGAGCTCTGTGTCCAAGCACATTTATAGAGAAGTGAAGGGAAGGAAACGATGTGGTAGAAAATAATGTACAAGCAATAGGGATAACTGCACCCTGGAGAGGACTGTGAAACAAAACCAATTCCAAAATGTGGGGGAGATTCATAAAGAGTGGACTGCAGCTGAAATCAGTGCTTCAAGAACCACCATGCACAGACATATGCAAGACATGGGTTTCAGCTGACGCATTCCTTGTGTCAAGCCACTCTTGAACAAGAGACAGAGTCAGAAGCGTCTTGCCTGGGACTGCTGCTGAGTGGTACAAAGTTATGTTCTCTGATTAAAGTATATTCTGCATTTCCTTTAGAAATCAAGGTCCCATGTCTGGAGGAAGAGAGGAGAGGCACAGAATCCATGTTGCTTGAGGACCAGTGTCAAGTTTCCATAGTTCCATGATGGTTTGGGGTGTCATGTCATCTGCTGGTGTTGGTCCATTGTGTTTTCTGAGGTCCAAGGTCAAAGCAGCCATCTACCAGGAAGTTTTAGAGACTTCATGCTTCCTGCTGCTGACCAACTTTATGGAGATGCAGATTTCATTTTTCAACAGGACTTGGCACCTGCACACAGTGCCAAAGTTACCAGTACCTGGTTCAAGGACCATGGTATCCCTGTTCTTAACTGGCCAGCAAACTGGCCTGACCTTAACCCCATAAAAAAAAGTCTATGGAGTATTGTGAAGAGGAAAATGTGATACACCAGACCCAACAATTCAGAAGAGCTGAAGGCCACTATCAGAGCAACCTGGGCTCTCATAACACCTGAGCAGTGACACAGACTGATTGACCCCATGCCACGTCGCACTGCTGCAGTAATCCAGGCAAAAGGAGCAACAACTAAGTATTGAGTGCTGCACATGCTCAAACTTTTCATGTTCATACTTTAAAGTTGGCCAACATTTCTAAAAATCATTTTTTAAACTGGTGGTAAGTAATATTCTAATTTTCTGAGATACTGAATTTGAGGTTTTCATTAGCTGTCAGTTAAAATCATCAACATTAAAATAAATAAACATTTGAAATATATCAGTCTGTGTGTAATGACTGAATATAATATACAAGTTTCACTTTTTGAATGGAATTACTGAAATAAATCAACTTTTTCATGATATTCTCATTTTATGACCAGCACCTTTATATGAATGTATATCAAGGTTAAGGTTTCTTGTGATACATGTGGTCAAACAAAATTGTGTACACAGGGTCCCAGTTACATCCAACAAAAGTATACATTGTAAAGAAAAAAATAATAAGATCTAAGATATGAACTAAGAAATACACTAAACTAAGAATATGCTAAGCTCTAATCGTACAAAAACAATATGCTGAACAACAGCAGCACAAACATGAGTCTGTGTGAGCAGAAGAATATGAATGAACACAGCGGCATGAAATAAATCAGCAGCATGAGATCAGCAGCATGGATATTCAGCAGCACATATCAACAATCAAGTGGCATTACAGTGATTTTTTTTTCCCACAGTGATTATCCTGATTAAGGATTCGTGAGTCTAACAGCTTCAGGGTAGAAGCTGTTTCTCAGTCTAGTGGTCATGAAAATATTGAATATAAACATTAGTTTACTGGATATTTAATTAGGACTTGTCTCAAAAAGATCTTAATTTACTTTACCCGCTTCTCTTAGAAGCTGGACAATTTCTAAAACACTATTCATCATTTTAAGTGACACACAACGTTTTCTTGACATTTCGCAACTTTGTAATCCCCGACCAGTGCACAATACTTCACTTTCTGATTTCTCTCCTTAGTAAAAAGCCTTGTTAGTTGACAAAAGGTTCATTCTCATGGATTTTGAAGAGAAACTGCAATGTGAACAAGAAAGCTAAATAGACAAGCGACTAACTCAACAGTCAAACTAGTCCTAAAACATTCTCGTGAAAACTTGACAGTCATACACGACCACAGTACTGAAATACGTTGCCAGCAACTTTCATTAAACATAGTATACAGTACACCCTAAGAACTCCTCACTTTCTTTGATTAACGTTGTGTTATATATATTCTGAGAACTTACTACATGATATAAGATAAGACGAAGTCCTGCTCAAGCCAGTCATTCCTAATGACGACATGCTGCAGAAGAGTCAACTCCAGAACTGCAGACAGCAAACCTCCAGCTTAAGGACGTGTACGTCAAAAAGGAACAAAATGTGCTGAACGCAGGTGGCAGACAGCTGACTTTGACAAAGGAAGGTGTAGTTTACTGGTAAGTTTAGAATATAATGTATGTAACTTTCTCAAATAACAAAAGAATTTCACATTTTTAACTTTGTGCGAGTGATGTAACCTTGACATTAAGTTGTGGTAACCTGAGCTGCAGACCCTGAGGGTGCACACCTGAGCCGAGCCACATCAAGCACTTCCAGTAAGTACACGAACTACAGAATTAAACATAGTTAAAGCGCAACATCTGGTCTTGGATCTTAGATAAAACAAAGTGTCCGTGCAAATATTGGCAGTAATATGTCTTACTCCACTTGTGCCAAAACAAAAAAACCCTCTTTGTTTCTTACCCTAGCAGCCAATCAGTCGACTCCCTGCAGGCATTGTGGGCGTGGCCTCTCCAGGTTCTTAGTGCAACTGTCACTGCCTTGATCAGAATGTTCCTGTAGTGGATACCAAGCACAGAGGACCACGATGAGGAGCCTTTTTCTGCTTCTGCTGGTAGGTATTACATATATCGTTTTGATTTCCATTCTTTACATGTGGTGGAATGACAAATAAAGAACCTTGAATCCTTGAATTGACATGTCCTTTGAGCAAAGGCAAACGTAAAACTAGTTCCGTGCTTCATATTATGTAAATATAAGTCGAGGACCGAGGAACTTTACGATACTAAAAACATTTTCACCTTTCTAGAAGCATGCATCTTTAATAGTTTCTGAACTAAACATGAGTAAAACGCAGTTCTTTTGTTTTGGAGTTAGTTACGATTTCAGAATCTCAACCGCTTTAGTTATCTTTACATCACCCCTTGGTGGTTTTATCTTAGTATTTGCTCATAGTTTTCTTTATTGCTGAGGTGTTTCAAATAATAATTGTACAAGTGACGAGGTGTTATGCTTCCACAAGTTTTACTCGACTCTTAGAAAGTGGTTCCTTCTGTATAAAAAAAAATCACAAATAAAAGCATTCTTAATGGTCACTTTTACACCTGATGTCCGGTAATCCCTGTCTGCCCAGTTTAACTTTCTTCCTTAACCTATACCTTTTCATCTTTAAAGAAACATGCATCCTAAATTCAGTTCAATTCAATTCAAAATAGTTCCTGAAATACACTTGGTTATAAAACACAATAGTTGCAACTTGGGAATCTTAAGCACTTTGTAACTTTCTATTTAGCTGGTTTTTTTTACATATCTGTACACAAGTAAAAAGGCCTTCTGTTTGCAGATATTTAATTAAAAATAATTTGCTAACTGTCCTGTTGACACTTAGCCTAAGGCGGTCAGAGTAGGAATTATGTGCGTTTGTGTCAATGAGGTGTTGTCAAGGTTTTGAACTTAGTGAACCTTTTTTATTAAATAGATAGATGAAAAACGTCCTTTGAAAATACTGACTTCAAACGACAGTCAGACTGACAAATTAAATAATTCCTTGTTTGTGACCTTCACTTCTTCAGTGTGACAAACCAAACGATGTCGCGGAGCCACCCCAGTCCGTGCGTTGAGTTGAAGTTGACTGGGGTTGCACAGTCAGTGGTCGGACAACAGAACCTGTAAAGTTTAGCTTTTGGAACATTTTTCCTAAACTGTGGCTTTCCAACATAATTTAACAATATGTTTTATTCTGACTTTAAAGGGACATTTTTATTTAAATGAACGTCAGCTTTAGTTTTCTTTTTGCAAGTTGATGATTTTAGACTTTAGAAAACACATAAACAAGACAGAAGTTGAAAATAAAAATTGAAAACAAGCTCTACATCTTTCAGTATAATGCTGTTCTGAAAATTTGAATGGCCGCCTTAAACGTCATTTGGTTTATGTCTCATTTAAGGATATTCTTACACATCCCAGATTTACTGATTTGCGTATTTGCAGTTTTAAGACACTGCTAATATTTCCCTGCCTTCATTTCCTATTATTTCAGTAAAAAAAAAAAATTAAATCATAATTCAAGTGTAAATATTAAACTTACTCAGTTTGGGTCTGCTCATTATTTATTTTTGAATTGAAATTAAATTCAGTTTTGGCAAATCTAAATATTCTGTACAAAATGTTATAACACAATTCTCCCTTTACCTAAGAAATTAAAGCATCTGTTGTCTGTTCTGTTAAATATTTTCTCTTATACATTCTGTAATCTTGCCTGAACTATAGAGAGACGATGTTTAAAAGCAGAACATATTTTCTATCTTTAAGCATCGTCTCACATGCTACCCTGTTGACGGCAAGGTTTTTATTTAAGCACTTATTTTATTTTATTGATTATATTAGTTTTAATTTAATCCCTGGAAATACACTTTTTTTTCCCCCTGTTTTTTTAAATCTGTGAAGTGTTGTGGAAGGACCAAGTCTGGAGACTGTAACATGGGCACTTACAAAAACATACTTGCATAACAAAATATTAACAGCTGACAATACAGAGACAGGATAACAGGATGACGGACTGATGAGTGAGTGAGAACAAGTGAATGTATGATCAGTAAAGGGCAGCACGGTGGCGCAACTGCCTCTCAGCGAGCAGGTCGTTGGTTCAAACCCCGGTCCAGGGGCCTTTCTGGGTGGAGTTTGCATGTTCTCTCTGTGCATGCATGAGTTTTCTCCAGGTACTCCAGTTTCCTCCCACAGACCAAAAACATGCATGTTAGGCTGATTGGTAACTCTAAATTGTCCCTAGGTGTGAGTGAGAGAGTGAATGTTTGTCTCGTTTGTCTCTATGTGTCCCTGTGATGGACTGGAGACATGTCCAGGGTGTACCCCGCCCCTCACACAGTGATAGCTGGACATGGGCCCCAGCGACCCCCGTGACCGCAAGAAGCAGGTAAAGATAATGGATGGATGAATGATCAGTAAAGAAAAGGAAAGTGGAGGCAGAACTGGCTGAAGGAATAAAATGAAGAGTGACACGGGAAAAACCTGAAAACAAGTTTTTTTTCTCCCCACATTTATTCATTCATTTAAAATAAAACAAATTCATCAAAAAGAAGAAAAAAATTGAATGAAAAGGGTGCAGAAAGAAGAAACAAAAAAATCTTATTTCTGCCCCTTATTTAAAAAAACAAAAACAAAATAGCTACAAACAAACAACAACCTACACTTGAACAATCTCCAAAGGGAAACCAAAAAACATCAGGTATCCTTCACCTGGTACTATACCTTCCCAACACCTTTAACTTAATCATCTTTTTAAACATATAAATTGTTTTAGAAATTTTTATGGTGATATCAAGACAATTCCGCAGTCATGTTCCCTGAATTACAACGCAGCTCCTTCACACTAGTTCTAACATTTCCTTTCCCTTAAGGTTATAACGACTCTCTTTTTTAACACATTTTAATTGAATATTTGGGGGTAATATTTATTATGAGCTTTATACATGACTTGTAAAGTACTATACCAAATCATAAAATTTTAACAATTTCAACTGATGAAATAATATATTTGTTGGGTGACGCACTTCCTACTAATAATTCTTATATCTCTTTTTTGTAAAATAAAAATAGGATTTGTAATTGTTTTGCATGTTGTTATTAAATAAATAGGTGATAAATGAGAAAAAAAACAGACTACCGATAATCAACTAAATAAAACAGTTGCGAAAGGAATAAAAAAATAAAAAAAACATAGGATCATAACAAAAACTCTAACTTTTGAATCAGTGTGACTCACAATCCCATTATGTTTATACAGAAAGAATACACTCATTGTTTTTTCTGATTGTGGTTTGGACAATATGCTGTGCAACACTTGCTCGTGAAGCTAAATAAAAACTCCTGGATAAATGGAGTAGATTTTTAATCAGTCAAAAAACCTGCAGGTTGAAATATTTTAGCTGTAACATATTTGAAAAGGTTAAATGTGTGCTATGAATGCAGTGACCTGGCCGTTAATAAGATCATTCCTGTACCAACAGTGCATTTTGATTTGCTCTGTTTTATAAAAATAATGTCACAACAGATTGGTGATCCGTCTGTCCGTCCGTCCGTCCGTCCATCCATTATCTTTACCCGCTTCTTCCATTTTGGGTCACGGGGGTCACCAGTGCCCATGTCCAGCAATCACTGTGTGAGGGGTGGGGTACACCCTGGACAGGTTGCAAGTCCATCACAGGGACACATAGAGACAAACGAGACAAACATTCACTCTCTCACTCACACCTAGGGACAATTTAGAGTTACCAATCAGCCTAACATGCATGTTTTTGGGAGGAAACTGGAGTACCTGGAGAAAACCCACGCATGCATGGAGAGAACATGCAAACTCCACCCAGAAAGGCCTCCGGACCGGGATTTGAACTGGCAACCTTCTCGCTGAGAGACAGCAGCTCTACCAGTTGCGCCACCGTGCTGCCATATAAATGTGAAATATAAACTACTGGTAACGAGAAGAAATCTTGGGAAACCCAGACAGTTGTGTGGACAAAAACACAAAAGCAGTAAATTATCCCCTATAAAGAGAAATCTGTATAAAAGAGTGCTGGATTAATCCTTTATCATGTGAACAGCTAGTTTTGAATGTCACCAGCAAACTAGTTGATCCACTATGAGAAGGTGCTGTTTATAAGACTGAGTTTGTTGCTGCTCCTCAAACTGACGAAGTCTTTTGAATTAAAGACGAAACATTTAAACATTTAGTTTTTTCTTTTTTTGCATTTGTCCAGAGGATCTGATTTAACTTTGTTAGAGCACTGGATTAAGTTTTGCTGTACATGCTCTATAACATGCACGTCGCTGTTTCCTTTTCCTGTTGCATGTAGGTTGCGTTGGCAGCCATGGGAGAGAGTCGTGGTGGTAGCAAGTTCAACAGTCGTGGTCAACGGGTAAATGTTTAATCATTATAAGATAACTCCTCTTGTATTTTCTTCTCAGTGAAATTTAAGGAATCGTTGGGTTTATATTTACACTGTATTAGGATCTCTTGTTGCGCTCCAAAAGAAGATGGGTCCTGTCAACAATTGACTTGGAAGAGGAAATGAAAGTGGATTACCCATACAAAATTTCTACGGTAAAGTAGCCATCGTTTCCATACAACAACCACTCAGTGTGGCAGCTCACTCACATGTCAGTTATGTCTCTTTCAGATGTATAATGACCAGACTGAAGGGCATAACTACAAATTCATAATCAGTGGAGAAGGAGTAGATCAGGGGCTGTTTTCTATTGGTGAAAAATCTGGAGATGTGTTTGTGCATAGACCCATCGACAGAGAGAAAAAGTCAACCTATCATGTGAGCCAACACTGGCTGGTAATTAATACATAATACAAAATGTATTCATTGAAAACTGTTTAACCTGAGTACTTGATTCCACAGATCACGTTTGATGTCTGGAACTTAGAAACTGATACAGGACTTGACAAGGAACTAGCTTTCGATGTGGATATAAAGGACATTAATGACAATGCACCTAAATTTATCAAATTTAAGCCAAATGCTCAAGTGAAGGAAAACGCGGAGGAGGGCAAGTATACAATATAGTAAATATTTAAACTGTATGCAGGCTTTCAGCACGCTGTCATCGAGTGTGAAATGTTTGAGAAACAAACGTTTTAATGTGATTTTTGTATTTTGAAGTGTTCATAGAATTCTTATTACTGTACATCATAATATTTTATCCATGAGTTAAGAAAGTTGTCAAACCTGGACATCATATTTTAATTTGCTGCCTACAGTCACGTACTTCTATTTTATATATACTTTATCTGGCTTCCTTTGGTCACCTTCTCATAGGGTACCTGGATGCACTGATTGAGGCTACAGATGACGATCAGGAAAACACCCCTAATTCAACAGTTGTGATCAGCGTGAGTCAACAAAACCCACTTGAGCCCGCCATTGAGGCATTTCAGATTGATGGCAGAATGGCTCGACTCAAATTCAAAGGATGCTTCGATTACGATGTGAGATTCAGTAACCCATTCATATAAAGTTGACGAACATGCAGACTCCCTATCAGTTTTGCACTGTACTTAAAGTATAATCTTTTTACATGTTTCAGAAAGCAAAGCAGTATAAAATTGCTGTTATAGCAAAAGATAAAGGGAAGCCACCACTGTCCAGCACTAGCGTTATTGTGCTCAACGTTATTGACACGAACAGTCATCAACCAACATTTTCAGAGAGGCAGGCATGTATTGATATATTATTGTGTTTTTTAAAATTTTGATACTAAACTTATGCACAAGTATGCAACTTTTCTGTCTTTTAGTATAAAGTTGAGGCTTTGGAAATGACCAAGTTTGATGAGCTTTTGAGAATTAAGGTGACGGACAAAGACACTCCGAACACTGATGGCTGGCGTGCCAAATTCCACTTTATCAGTGGCAACGAGGAAGGAATTTATGAAATTAAAACTGACCCAGCAACAAATGATGGCATTCTGAGTGTTGTCAAGGTAACTTTTATCCATCTAACAGAAAAAAATGTTCACTGCAAGTTAAAAGTCCAACAGTCTTTAAATTTAAAACTACATAAACAGCAGATGAACTTGTACTGACCTCAACTTCTTTGTTTTCTACAGGAAAAGAATTTTGACCAAAACACTTTGGTAAACTTGAAAATTGGCGTTGAAAACATTGAATCGTTAAGTATTTGCAAAGATAATAAATTAATTAAAGAGCCAAAGGACCTTCCACCTCAAGATTCAGTCAATATCACAGTGACAATGATTGACACCAATGATGCACCAGTGTTTGAAAAATATACAGACGATGTGTACCAGACAGAGGAAATGGAGCCAGGCGAAGTTTTGTACTCTCCAAAAGTTCAAGATATTGACTCCCCAACGTTCAGGTATGGCCTCTTTATATTCCATGTCTAAAGTCAAAAATAAATAAATAAAAATAGCAAACTGAGCTTGTTTGGTTGGTTGGTTGTCAGTTTGCTATCAGAATTACTTGAAGTCCTTTTTAAAAAATACAAACATTACTTCTAGGGGTGGAGCATGGGCCCACCACAAAGGGAGTCAAGTTCAGGTCCAATTTAGCTCTTCCACTTTTACACTATGAAAGAAGATTTTTGTTGGTTAAATTGTTTTCATGCCTCCAAATTTAGCAACATTCCAGGTTTCATTTATCAGATTACCTAATTAGGAAGAAGACATATAGATCAAAAAGCAGGTTGCCCATTTAGGTTATTTTGGTATTGAAAGGATTTCTTTAATTTCTTCAGCAGTTATTTTCATATAAAAATATCACAAAGTAGATTTTGTTAAAATAAACCTTTTGTTTATTTGACAAATACAGTTCTTAACTTATCTGTTAATACTTACAAAACCAACAATGCAATTTAATTCAAATTAAATACAACTTGCAGTGTTTAGTTATTCAATGTGAACAGAAATGCCTTTAAGTTTTATGAACAGGGGTGTAAACAGGCTTCTTTTTTTTCTCATGGCATTTAAGCACTTGTCACTCCCCTCCTCAAGATCACTGATACTAAATCTCAGACTCAGGTGGGCCTGCACATGGGCAATAGTTGTGCAACTGCTACTTATCCCATAAAATGAACACAATTCTATTATGCCTGACAGATAATAAACGCATATTAGTTACTTCAACATTAATGGAAGAAAATACATCTTTGTGCAAATGTTCACAAGTTACCCAAATTTACCCATCTAGCTAGCTTTGTGTGTCAAGGGAAAGGAGACCTACAATATAAATATCAAAGTTGTGCAATATACTGTATAATTTTTGAGCTGTGAACATTAGTTTAAAAGCAATGCTCACCCTTCAAATGATAATGGGTGGCTTCAGACAGTACAATCTGAAAAAGTAAAAGCCACAGCTTACATAATGTATTTACTCATCATGAACCCTGAGAAGTTGAAAACCATGTTGACGTACAATATGAATGTGTAGTTTACTAGGGATGCACAATATTATCGGCATGGTATCGGCCGATATTAGCGTTAAGATTAAATATCGGACATCGACCATTCCATCAAAATAACTCACCGATATACAATGCCTAGCCAAAAAAAGTCACCATCTGTATTTAACTAAGCAAATAGGTACGAGTCTTCTATTGGATAATTACTGCATTATCTTTCAGCTGGCAACAAGTTATTGAACTCCAACTGGAGTTGCTTCTCATTTCTTAAACAACCATGTTGAAAGACAGATCGTGTGGTCGTGGAAAAGATGTCAGTCTGTTTGAGAAGGGTCAAATCATTGGCATCAAGCAGAGAAAACATCTAAGGAGATTTCAGAAACTACTAGAATTAGGTTAAGAACTGTCCAACGCATCATTAAAAACTGGATGGATAGTGGGGACTCATCGTCTTCGAGGCAGAAATGTGGCCGGAAAAAATCCTGAATGATCGTTATCGGCCGTCACTTAAACGTTTGGTGAAATCAAATCTAAGAAAAACAACAGTAGTGCTCAGGGCTGTGTTTAATAGTGAAAGTAAGAGCATTTCCACACGCGCAATGTGAAGGGAACTCAAGGGATTGGGACTGAACAGCTGTGTAGTCTTAAGAAAACCACTAATCAGTGAGGCTAACTGGAAAAAAAGGCTTCAGTTTGCTAGGGAGCATAAAGATTGGACTCTGGAGCAATGGAAGATGGTCATGTGGTCTGATGAGTCCAGATTTACCCTGTTCCAGAGTGTTGGCACATCAGGGTAAGAAGAGAGGCAGGTGACGTGATGCACCCATCATGCTTAGTGCCTACTGTACAAGCCTGTGGGGGCAGTGCTATGATCTGGGGTTGCTGCAGTTGGTCAGGTCTATATTCAGCAACAGTGTGTGCTCAAAGAATGAAGTCAGCTGACCTGAATATACTGAATGACCAGGTTAATCCATCAATGGATTTTTTCTTCCCTGATGGCACGGGCATATTCCAAGATGACAAGTCCAGGCAGGATTCATCGGGCTCGAATTGTGAAAGAGTGGTTCTAGGAGCATGAGACATAATTTTCACAAAAGGATTGGCCACCACAGAGTCTAGACCTTAACCCTGTTGAGAATCTTTGGGATGTGTTAGAGAAGGTTTTGCACAGTGGTCAGAATCTGCCATCATCAATGCAAGATCTTGGTGAAAAATTAATGCAACACTGGATGGAAATAGAGCTTGTGACACTGCAGAAGCTTATCGAAACAATGCCACAGTGAATCTAAAGGCGGTCCAATGAAATATTAGTGTGTGACCTTTTTTTTGGTGGCAACATTTTTTTGGCCAGGCAGTGTATAATATCCAAGTATATCCAAATATTCAAAATCCAAGTTGAAGTGTTGCATCATTTTTAGCCCCTTTTTGGCATCTGCATTGGTAGCAGGCCAAATTGACAAAGACCATGCAGAATAATGTAGTATTTTAATTCCACAGCAGAGAAAGCTATGTAGTCTCTGTAAGTAGGTCTAGTAGGTTTTAACATATGGGCATATTGGATATTGGCCAAAAATCTAATATCGTGCATCCCTGTAGTTTACAACTTAAATAAGTGGGAATGGATAAAAAATGTGTACAAAAAAGAAATTAGCAACTTGATCTGGGTTGTTGGTGTGCAGAAACTGAGCAGTCAACCCTGTTTTCTAGGGAATTATAGATGTCTATTATATTGTGAGTTTTTCCCCTTACCTTAAATAAATTGTTAAAAGGTTTGAAATGATCCATGAAAATATTTTATTCGTACTTGGACGTTTGCTCTTACTCTGAGATTTCTGAGAACTGCATAGCACCAAAGTGAATACCCCAGTTTTCAAACAATAACATTTCTGTATAGTAGTGCCACATATTGGACAGAATCTGTTATATGTGAGGTGAATTATGATAACCTAGCAATATTTTTACAAATAATTTAATACAGCACGGTCATATCATGTCACAATCATTTTAAATACTTTACTCGATGATATGCATTGCTAACTGTCTAATTTTCTGATTTTTACAACTGTAACCAGGTTTGTCCTGGTCGCTGATCCAGCTAACTGGGTGTCTATTGATGAAAAAACAGGAGATATCAAAACAGTCGCAAGGATGGATCGAGAGTCACCCTATGTTGATGAGGACAATATTTACAGAATTGTTATCGCTGCCATCGATGATGGTAGGAGATGGCTTCACTGTATAATATTTTAACAAACAACTTAAACTAAATCATTTTTCCTCTTGCTGTGGCTTCCAAGGTGTACCTGCTGCCACAAGTACATGCACAATCAAGGTTCACCTCAGGGACATCAACGACAACACTCCTAAACTGGTCAACAAGACTTTGATCATGTGTGGAAACCGAGTTAACAAGATTATGGTGCCTGCTAGGGATGCTGATGCCGAGCCATTTAGCGGGCCCTTCAGCTTTACCTTGGAGAATGATAAAACTCTGAATGCGCGCTGGAAATTAGAACCTGCCTACGGTTGGTTCACCACTCCTTAAATTGTTAATGATGAAAAACATCTAGTTGAAGAGCTACTAGACACATCTCTTTCTATGTTAAACAGGTGAAGAATGCGGCCTTGTTAGTAAGAAAACTCTTCCCTATGGTAACTACTCTGTGCCGCTGGTGATTGAAGATAAACAGAACCTGATTGGACATGAGACCCTGGAAGTGGTGCTGTGTGACTGTGATAAAAGCGATGTTTGCCGTGGAGAACTCCCACTCGCAGCAAACATATCTGGAGCGGGCATTGGACTCATTCTTTCCTCGGTGCTTTTGTTTTTGTGTGAGTACGACCAATGTTGAACACATGATATATCTTTTTTGTGTAATGAGAAATCATTCTTTAAAATGTGTCACACAACAACTTCAGGTTCATGTTCCTGCATTTGAAAAGAAATTCATTCAACCTTTATTTAGACAGGTTAATCCCACTGAGCCTCGGGGACTCTTTTACAAGAGAGACCTGAAATATGTGTGCAATGTTTTACAAAACACTTTAACAAGATTTATACGGGTATTTAAGGAAAGTCTTCAACAAAGAATCACAAATTTATTATCACTACATTGATGAGTGTAAATGTGTGATTAAATTTTCATTATTATTGAATATACTATATAATAAAATACAATGGAAGTTAAATGTATGGGAAATACAACATACACATTGTTCCTTTGTTGCATCTGCAGTACTTTTGCTTGTTATCGGTTGTTGGACGGGAAAGCAGACGTTTAAATACATAGATATGGATGAAGGCAACCAGACACTTATCAAGTACAACCAAGAAGGAGGGGGCGCTACTTGCATGGTATGCTACTTGTGATGTGGTCGTGCAAATTAATAAGACAATCCTGTGCCAAGTAGTACAGTGTAAATTGTTTTCTGTATTCTCCGCCAGGCTGTACCCATTCCCCTGTCACCAACGGGTGCTATAAATGTGACAGATGGTCTCAAGCAGGGCTTTGCACAGGTATTCCCCCTTTATTTTTATTCCCATTCATCTTTTTCTAAAATGTATAACTTTCACAAGAGTTATTTCATAGAGAGCACACTAAACTGTCTAAAAGCAGGACTGGTAAATGTGAAGAAATATTGCAGAAAAATATTCTGCAGTAAACACCAAGTAATAGATGATGTTATAAACTAATGAAGGACATCTATCCATCTGTTGTACTATATTCTTTAGCTACCCAGATGACAGCGGTATACAATATGGGCTCTGGTTGTTGTAAATAAAGAAAGGAAGGAAGAAAGAATAAATATAAATATTTGCATAGAGTCATGTAACAGGTGGATTTAATAATGAAGTTTAGGAGTAGCATGGTATAACACAAATATTACAACAGATGTTGTTCCCACCCTTTAGACAAAAAGTGCAGGAGTAGTCTTTAAATGTAAGAAAAGTGTGTGATACATCTGAACATATAAAGGTCAATGAGAAGATTACATGCAATTTTTGTTGCAATAGGCCTATATTTACATATAATAACAGGGTGTGATTCAAAAACAAGCATTTATTTTTTATGTGCAATTTTCCATGTCTAAACCTGTCGAACCTTTTTTATATAAAATAAGTTTGACTGTATGATTTATTATTTTGTTTTGCTAACCTAGAAAACTGAGACCGCCCCAGGGCTGATTAATAATGTGGAGACCTACAGCTCCATACACAACTTTGTGAGTAACCCACTTTAAACACTGCTTTATATCAAAGTTTGAACAGAGAAAAAATAACAACAACAACAAAAGCATTGCATCGTTTTGCCTTGGAAAAATGTCCACAGTAAATCAATGCATGGTACATACAGGGGCGGCTGTGGCTGAGTGGTTACAGCAGTCATCCTCCAATGCAAGAGTTGGGGGTTCAATTCCACCAACAGTCACATGCCAAAGTGTCCCTAATCAAGACACTGAACCCCTCATTGCCTCTCATGTGTGTCCCATCAGTGTATGAATGTGATAAAGCACTGATTGTTATTTTACATTAATAGTAGAGAGCTGTATGAATGGGTAAATGAGGACACAGATTGTGTTGTAAAGTACTTTGAGTATCTTGATCAGATAGAAAGGTGCTGTATAAGTACAGTCCATTTACCATTTACATGCACATCTCTCAGGAAGTAGGGCTTATTGTACACTGTCAACTTTCACTGTGATTTACCCTTACTATTTATATGCCAACAGAATACCTATAACATGCAATCCAAAAGCTTGCGGCAACAACGAGGGTCTCATAGAAGCTACGAGGGGCCATCCAGAGTGAGTGGTTATTGCTGTAATTACATTTTCAGCCTCATTTGACCTTTCTTACAATTGTGGGTTTCGTATGGTATTAATGGAGCTTCATTGCTCTGGTTCACTGCTGGTCTAAGTCCACAAGATGGTGCAGCAACATGATTTTTTGTTTTTGCATTTTTTTTTCTTGTTTTTATCATCTTTGGCAACCCCCCCCCCCCCCCCCCACACACACACACACACATTTTTCAGCTCACAGATTTAACTGTACTCATACATCAAAATGTATGAATATTCAAAACATGCATTGCATAATAACGGTCTTATCTGATGCATATTAAACTGCATCAGCTTGAAACATAATCATTTTTACTGCATAAAAATATGCAATAATTTAAAAAGATAATGTCTTTTCATTATATTTAGCCTTTTCTCATTGACATACATGGGGTGCATGGTGAAAAAACAAGTAGTAAATAAAACAAGCATTCCTTGCAAGTTTTAGCTCATTATCTGTGAAATTGACAATGGTATAACCTTTTTTTTTTGTGTTTATTAAGGCCACTGAGTTGTGGTGGCCATCTTTAATCAGGTTCACACCAAAAAATGGTCAGTTATAGAGGTACATTTTAAGGGATTTGGAAAGTTTCAACAAAACTCATTAGCTTCTTCTTGAGAATATTTGCCAATCGACATACAAAGACATGAAAACAAGGCAAGAATTTTCATGATCACTCACCTTTCATGGAGGCAGGGATCAAATACTTTTGCATTAAAAGAACTGCAGCATATCATGGCTCCAGTGCCATATGTTTAATTAAAGACAAAACTGAAGTTTTGTTTTCTTTGTTCAGAGTGCATCCTTGAATGCCAGCAGGAGGCAAACAGTACAGGTAAACAGTGCTTTCATTGATATTCACAGTTTATACTAAATATGTAAACTGCATGTTAAGTACATACTAGTACATTTATAGTCATTTATGGTTATGGTTATACAAGATCACATTGTTTCTGTCAGCAGGGCAACAACTCATTCTACAAACGCTCTCTGAGCATAAGGTCAGAGCAACGCCTCGCAAGTCAAATCATGCAGGTAAGAGAAGTTTACATCACATACCACACAGATCGCATCACTGAACATGCTCCCAGAAGGCCAGATAAGACACTGTTTGTGATCCGACTGTCAAAGAGCAAATAGATCGAAGTGAAATCGTCAGGAATGAGATAAAACATTATCATAACGTTTTAGAAGTCCATATTCATAAGAATGACAGCTTAATCATTAAGGTCAGGCAGTTTAACAGCCTCAGCATTAGGCAATGAATTAAAAATAGAAAATTAAGAATAATAGGGGTGCACCGATTGCAGTTTTCTGGCAGATCACTGATTTCCAAAAAGCCTGAACTGCCGATTCCGATTTTGGCCGATACCGATTTTGTTTTATAAACGACACTGTCAGGTGTTATAAGGTCACAATGCACCTTAAATTTTCTAATATTATTTTACTGAAAAACAGACCCTTGAAATATTTCCTAGAAACAATCCAAACTTGTTTTAACTGGAAATATAAATGAAGTTCAGACAATTGTTGTTAAAACTAAAAAATCGGTAAAATTGTTTTCTCGTGCAAGTATTGGCCGATTTCTGAGTTCCCAAAATTAAGGAAATCGGGGCCAATAAATCAGTGCACCCCTAGAATACAACACTGCAATCAAACAGAAAAAATATCTAAATATTGCTTTTTTCACTCTTAAATCATACAGAGAGTTTATGCTATAAGTGAAGACGACCCATATTTCATGGTGGACAAACCGTTCAGTTATGTATATGAGGGGAAGGGCAGCATATGCCAGTCGCTGGACCAGCTGTCGCTCAATAACCAGGAGGATGATTTGCACTTTTTGGATAATCTTGGTCCAAAGTTCAAGATCTTGGGAGAGATCTCTACGCATTCTAAGAACATGCAGCAGTAAAAGGCACGGCTCGCATGGAAACTTGAATGTCAACTCTTCCCTCCTAGTTTCTGATTGCAGATATGGACTGATTCAACGGGACTCTTTAAAAAGCAAAACACCAAACTGGCTGGATTATACACTTGTGCTTTTTGTAAAATATGGACTTAAACATGCAACATTTTGTATTGTATTGTATATTTGCACCTATCCATGAAACATGAATTCTGTACAGCATGTCATGCTTCGGTGATTCTAAAAGGTTGGATTTTCTCAGTAACTGGATGTGTTTGCTCGTTTTCTGTTTTCCTGAGACACGGCGCATAAGTGACACCTTAATAGAGAACTATTTTGAGCTTTGGTGGTTCTGCCAGGACATTATTTTGACATTTACTGTAAGGGAAGGACACTTGTATAAACTGGGGTATTTTATAACATGTAAAATTTAAGGTCTCTGCATGCACATCTCCAGAACTGCAATTATAAAGGGTTTGTAAGGAGCACAAGCCTAGATTTCATTGGCTAAAGTCAAACAATCAGGAACCAAAATTGGCTATTTCCACAAACAGTAAACGTTGGTTGTTCGTGATTTAGTGTTTAACGAAACAATGGTGAGAAGTTAACTGCAGATCTAAAAAACAAATAAATCACTTTTGTTTATAAGCATCTTTGGACTTCTTGTCTTTTTGGGGGCTGAGATGGGGTAGAGGTAAGGGCAGCCGACTTGGGACCAGAAAGTCAAAACATGTATGTTAGTCTGCCTTCAGGCCCAGGCCTCCCTCGCAAAAGAGATCTGTGATCTGGGATTTGCCTGCTTAAATAAAGATTAATGAAATAAAGTCATGGTTCAACTTCCAGCCAATCCTACATGTCATGGTGTCCATGAGCAAGATGCCCAATCCCTAATTGCTCCCGGGCGCTTACATAGCTGCCCACTGCTCCACCTGGGTGTATCTCAGGTGATATGGGTTAAATGCAGAGAACTAACATTGTATGGAAACATACAGTGATGACAGTCTCTGACTTCCCTTCCCTAAAATGTGTTTTATAAAAGAACATTTTTAGTCTAGTATTATCCATTCAACATTGCTAAAATGTACTCATTGCAATCTTTGAATGCAAACGTATCAAGTTCATGCGAGAGTTTACATTCTACTTTTGGACATTTAAAATAAGCAGCAAACAAATGGCATGCTAACTATGAAGCTCCTGCTCATTGCTTGCATTTACCCAATTCTTTTTCTTTTTCTGTGTTTTTTATTTGTTTTGTACTGCAAACTTGGCAGAACATAAGAACATGCAGGGTGTGTTAACTACATTTCTCTCATGGTTTCAATCATTGTCTCTTGAGAATGTAGCTTTAGTGTCAACCATTCATAGACAAAGATGTCTTACTGACGTGGTGGGATGAAGCCGCATGCGCAAAAATTATACACAAGGCAGAAAGAGGCTTTCAAAAAAAATGGAGCTTTCTGCAGAGTTGCAGCGTGGTCAGTTGATCGGAAATGTTTTCAGTTAATAAGCACTGCGACTTCTAGTGAACCTATTAAATATGTTGTTTTACTCCAAATACTGTTCCAGTTCAAAGCTTATAGCCAAGTAATGAACTTTTCATGACGTCAAGAATACCGTATTTTCCACTGTACACGTCGCACCGCCATATAAGTCGCATCAGTCCATATTTGTCTAATGAAGTGGAAAAATCCATAAATATGTCGCTTCGCCGTATACGTCGCATCTATTATGTGTCACCTCTGACAATCCGGAAATGTGGGCCGAACCCGGAAATGTGAGCCGGTGTTGTGCCAAAAATCGATGGGCTGCCAAATGGCGGGAGCGTGCACGGGAGGACTTTAACAAGAATTTAACAAGATTAACACCTAAAAACAATTATTTGTTTGCTGGAAATTAGAGTAAAGGTGTGGCTCAATTGAGCTATTCCTTAAGAAATGCACTTTAATGGTCAAATCAGCTGCATTTCAAAAACGGTTTCGCTGCCGCGGTGCTGCGAAGCAGGCACACGCAGCTAGACCAGCCGCTGCATTTCTTTCAAATTTAACAAGATAACCACTTTAAATAATTATTTATTTGCTCGAAATTATAGCAAAGGTGTGTCTCAGTCTAACATTTGCTTAATAAATTAACTTTAATGGTCAAATCAGCTGCATTTCGTCAGGGCGGTGCAGCTATTTTGACGGTTCCAAGCAGTGAGCAGAATGAAGGTGGGGGGACTATGGCAGGCTGATTGAGCCATTAAAAGCTGGAGAAGATTCTCGGTCATCTAGGACATGGTAAATTCAAAAAAATTCAAGACAAAAACAATACAGTATAAAGTATAGTATAATAAATAAAGTCCAGTTGTTTATGTCTTGAACTTTTTTGAATTTGTCATTATAGCCACATTTACCTATTGCATGATACAACAGCATGCTATACAACTATTACTACTCTGCTGCCATCAAGTGCCTGAAGGTGGTACTGCTCAATTTTTTTTCAGTCAGAATGAATGGAAACGGTCATATCTCAGCCAAAAAATGGTTTATAAATATGGTAAAAAATCCATAAGTAAGTTGCTTCAGCCTATAAGTCGCAGAGCATGTAAATTATGCAAAAAACTGCAACTTATACAAAGAAAAATACAGTAAATGAAAAAGTGACTTGTGTCAACTTGAAACAATGACACAGATTTCACTTTGCAAATAAAATAAATTAATTTTATCAGTAAGGAATGACAATTTTAGAACCTTAGAATCTAGCTGTTTTTTGTTACATTTTTTAGCCATCCTATTTGTTTAAAAAAAAAAAAAACTGGAGTATGACTTTTTATAACTGTTTATTGTTGTCACTGTTGTCCATTGTTGTCATCTTTGATGAAATCAGGTCTCTCTTGTAAATGAGTCCTCCAATGTGATTTACCTGTCTAAATAAAGGTTGAATGAATTTGTGTCTCATTTAAAAAAATTATGGTTTCTGCAAAAAGCAATGGCAAAAAGTTTTTCTTGAATTTGCACGTTTTTTTGTGTCTTAATAAATTTTCCTATAGCCTAAAAGCACATGCTGTATGTGTATTGTATATTTAACTGAAGGGCTATGTGTAAACAAGCATGACTGTTTTTGTTCTGGTCTTGTTCTGGTCTGAAAAACCACCAGGCTGTAATAACGACAGCTCCTGGAAGTATTAACGCTTCTAAAATTCATCACGAACGTGCTGTTTTCCAGTATCTTGAATTAAAAAACTTTCAGTTACAGCCACTCTCTGCTTTCAGAAGTTAAACATAATTGTGATTAGACTCAACTGCACTGACTTGTCAGATAAAAGCACTGACAGTGATGGAAAGACCTGAATGTGCAGTTCAGCAGAACTTGTGCTTGTTATTTTCTGTAGCACGGTGCACTTTTAACCGTGAACAGGGATTATATCCACCTTGATCCAAACCTTTTATCTGCAGTAGGGCATCTAAAGACAAGCTGAGGCTTGACATAATTAAAATATGAACTTTACTCAGTACAAAACTACATTCTGCCTTTGGGGATTTTTTCACTCCCAGCTTTAGCTCATACTTCGTTTTTTGTTAGCGTATGCTATGTTTTAACTTGTCTGTCTGGTCTTGAGAAACAGCCAGGTTTAATTTGTTTTGACTAGCCACCTTGATCTCATCGGGCACTGTCTTTTTACTTTTGTTTTGTTTTCCTCCACAGAAATAGTTTGAATGACAGAGCGATGCTTCTTTCTCCCCTGTCGAGCAGGGGAGGAGGATCAATACAAGTAGCCAAACAGCACGTTCCTTTTTTAGGTCGTTTTACACTTTCAATATAATAGTTTAATCACTTTCAAATTATGTTTTTAAGAAAGCAGCAGTTTATTTTATGAATGGAAAGTAGTTTTACGCAAACCAGCAGGAGAGCATTAAAAGTCAATTCGTGAACACTTTCCGTAAAGTTCATGACTGCAGCTTATCCTATATTATTTGTTAAAATATTTTAAGGGTGTTTAAGTTTATTTGATGCAAAGAAAACCTTGATGGCGTTACTTTGTAAACTCTAAAAGTGGCAGATGATAACAATGGAGGCTCATCAGAAAACCAAGCAGAAGTGGAAATACCGGTTTTCAAGCGATGGTGCCAGATGCAGTGAAGGTGTGGTGCACAGTGTAAAATATACAAAATTATTTTTGTACAAATTATATACATATTAAGGTAAACTGTTTTTTAAGCTTAGCTACTTTTTGCAACATGCCTTCATTGGACACAAACAAATAGGAAAGGCACATAAAAAAATAAAAAATAAAATAAAATTGTGGGGTTTCTGGGTTTTGTCCTGTCTTTTCTATTTCCTCTTGTTTCATTCACCCCTCAGTGTTCCTCCTTGTGTTCAGCCTTTGTCTCACCTGCGTCCAATGCCAATCACCACAGGTGTCTGTTATTTGTCCTCATTAGCATGTGCACATATTCAGCTACTTTGTGTCTTGTCATTTGTCTCTGGATTGTCCTTCTATGGTGTTATGATCTGTCTCCCGTCCTGTACTTCAAAACAAAGTAAGTTAGCTGCACTGTTAGCATTTTGAATTTGTGGTTTGAAAATAAATTCTTACCGGTACTTAAACTTTTAACTGGAGTCTCCTGTAGCCTTCCTGCACGTGGGTTCAACACACATGTTGCCAGATCATGACAAAAACACAAATGTAGTTTTGCATAGTTTAAAATAAATCGATCTATCTATTATTAGAAAGTCACGGGACCGATACAGGAGCTGTTTCGAACGGACACTGACGCATCAAACTGTGCTTATAAGCGTATCTGTCAATGGGATGCATCTGCCAAAAGAATCTTTGATCTTTTGCTGGTCATCATTAAATTCATCAAGAACTATGAAGCAGCCTCAAACCAAAAAGGTTTCTGTCGTGTGGGACCATTTTGATCTCGTATCGGAAAATAAGCTATTTGTTTTAATTTCCTTGTTGTCTGTTCTTAGATCTATCTGAATTCAAATTCATTTCAACGTCTATCTTAGTTTACCATTCATATTATTTTCTGCAGGTTAAATGTCGCATTTGTTCGACAGAACTTTCATAGTTAAATAAATCCACCCCCTCAATGCTGAGGCTCCCCGAGCCACATGCGGCTCGCCATGCTTTATGGTGGCTCTCGTCTCGTGACAGGTTACAACAATACACCAGCACAGCCAGTACATTTTTAAAACGTGCTGGCTCATTACGCAATAATTGCGCTTGTCGAATCGGGCTTCTATGATGCGGTTTCATGAATCATACAGCGCAAAGAGATCTAAATAAGAATCCACAATATAATGTGTTAATCTACTTGATGAGGAGGAGGAAGGTCCAACCGGCCGGAAGAAGTAAAAAAAAAAAAGTCCTGTTAACCTCAGATGCATCAGCTGATCATTACAGGTCGTGCACGTCTCTGCACTTTCTGTCATATGTAGTGAAGGAAGTAGGAGCATCTTACAGGGCCGGTTCTAGGCATGGCTACATGGGGGGCAGGTGGAAATGTGAAGGGGGCATCTTCATCCGTACACATATAACAGCATATTCATTGTTGAGCATGGACTTTGGTATTCGTTGTTATTGTTGACTTGTGTTTTCTTCATGGGATTGGGGTAATAAAAGCTGAATTTTTTTACACCTGTGAGTCAACATTTTCAACCATGAAGACTATGAAGCAAAAACAG